GGCCTGCCCACCGCCCTGTCCATACCCACAGCTGGAGGCAAGAGCCAAGCCTGGGGCCCTGCCCCTCCCGTGAAGCCTCCAGACCCCCACCCACATTCACAGGCAGCGCCCATCCGGCAAGCAGAGGGAGGCGTGGCTCCCGCCCCAGCCCGATGCGCCCCTGCGGGCGGGCCACGGGCCCCGGGCGGGAGGCTCCATCCTTACTCCGCTTGCTCTTGTCCTTATGGAGAAGCTGCCGCAGCTCCTGCTCCTGGGGGCCCGCCTGCGACTGGGGCACCGGCGCGTCCATCGGGAGCTGTGGGCAGGGCCGGCCGCCCAGGAAGGGGCAAGGAGTTGAAGAAGGAGCCGAGGCTCTGGGGAGGCTGAAGGCGGGGGGGCTGAGCTCGAGGCCGCCGCGGGTGGGGGGAGCTAGGGCTTTACCCTCATGGACTCTGCTGAGCGCTGCGGCAGGCCCGCGAAGAACAGGTGATGGTGCAGGCGCTGCGGGTGCTGCAGGGCCAACAGCGCGGGCTCTGGCGGGGGCTCCACCGGGGGCCGCTGGCCCACCCGCAGGTCCATGGGCTGGGGCTGAGGGCCTGGCGTGTCTGCACGGGGCCTGGGGTGGCCTGGGGGCGCACAGAGAGGGGGCGCGGTCAGGGCCCCCCTGGCCTGCTGCAGGCTCCCTTGACCACGGCGAAACACTCTGCAGGGGCCTTTCCTCACTTCTGTCACCGTGGTCCCACAAGGTAGGTCTTTCCAGCTCCATTTCACCCGGGCGGGGGCGGGTCATGGAACCTTGCAGGGTTAGTCTACAGAGGCAGTGCCGGAACGGAGCCTCCTGACTCGAGCACTGTGCTTTCCCACTAAACGGTGTTGCCCCTCCAGGGCAGGGGCTGGGAGCTGGGAGGATTTAGTGATGAGAAGATTTGGCCAGGATGCCCCCTAATGCACTCAAAGACAGCTATCCGGCAGTCCCCTTTGTTCAGCCTCCAGCCCCGGAAGGGCTCTCCCAGTTGCCCCCCTCCCATGCTCTCTCCTAGGCCAGAGGATAAAGAAGCAGCGCCTTGAGCCCACAGCCAGCCCTGGCCCACCACCCTGAGCCTGCACAGCCCTATCCGCAGGGCACCTTCCTCAGCTCACTGGCCCCTATGCCCGTAGGGTCTGCTCCCGGCGCCCTCAGGCCAGCTCTGGGCCTGGCACTGTGAGGACGGCAGGCTCAGCCGCCTCTTCTCAAGTGTCCTCTGCACCCACACCGGGAGTACCTGCCCAGGGCTGTGGGGGCAGGAGCTATTTATAACCGGCCACCAGACCAGGTCCTAGGCCCACACAGCCAGCTGGGCCAGGCTGGACTGAGCAGCTGGAGATGCTCAGGGGCGGGGTGTCTGCAGGGCCGTCATCCTGGAGAAGGGGAAGCCGGTTGGCGGGCGGGGGGGTGGGGGTGTGCCTAGGACAGAGCACACAATTGGGGAAAGCTTTCTGGAGAGGCCTCCTTCGGCTCAGCCAACAAGGCTCGGCATCCGCCATCAGGGCAGCCAGAGGCTGAGGGGCGCTGGAAGGCACTGTGACAGCAGCAGCCAGGGAGTCAGGGCACGCAGTCTCCAGGCCCGACTCAACCATCACCAACCATTACCTTCGATCTACAGCACACTTGTGGGCATGCCTGCAAAACCCTTTCACCCTGAAGCCCCCATAGGCCCTAGGAGGTGGTTATTGCTATTCCATTATCCCAAATGCGGAAACTTAGGCTCAGGGGAAAGGACCTCTCCAAAGCCACCCAGCGAGAGGCATGGTGAACACGGGTTCTGGTCCTGCCGAGGCCAGTGCTCTGGCTCCATTTTCCCCTGGACTTTCAGGAAGTCAGCACCCCTCGTGGGGGTTTCTCACTGGACAGAGGAAGACAGGCTTGCAGTAGGTTACTGCTAAGGGGCGTCCGCTCTAACGTTCTCTGCCCATGAGAGACAAGAGGAGCCCAGCAGGGAGGTGCCCACCACGACTGTCCAGATACTAAGAGACCAGAGGGAACAGCTGTGCATCCAGATGTGCCCTGCAGCACGCAAGCACAGCCTCCATGCCCCCACCCGTCTTCAAGCATCCACTCAGGGAACCCAGATTCTCATTCAGCTTGAGTCTCCTGCCAGGAAGGGTCTCAGTCCTCCACATCTGGTGTCCTGGCTTCCTGGGGTGACTCCCCTGATGAGGTAAGAGGGACCTCAGAGAACCCCAGACAGGCCACAGGGCAAAGGGCTAGCTGCCTCAGCCTCACAGGGACAAGAGGCCCCATCCACCCCCTCTGAGCACAGGGCTGCCCCCTGGTGGTACCGTCCTCACCCCTCAGATTCTACTTTTCCAGATCCTGCCCCTTCTTCCAAGTCCAGCTGGAATCTTCCTTCTTCCCTGCACTCAGCCCACCGCCCCATGTTCCTCCCTCCTCTGGATTCCAGTCACGTTGGTGGTTCTGTGCCCCCCAAGCCCAGTGTGGGCAGGGACAATCGGAGTCCAGCTCCAAGGGCAGGAATTTGGTTGTGTTTTTTTTTTTTACTTCTTACTATCCCAGCACCTAGAATAGTACCTAGCACATGACAAGAACCCAATAAATACTGGTTGAATCAATGAATACACCTCTGTATCTGCCCCCCTAAAATGCCTAGGAAGGTGCCCTGGCCCAGAGATGAGGTTCATCAATATTTCTTTTTCCAATTTCTGTATTTTTTTTTTTTTTTTTGGAAATTACATGTCTAGGACTACATGACAACAGGTGTGAATTTAGTGTTTCTTGAATGAAGGGATGAACTCTGTCCGCTGCGCCCTCCTTTGGCACTGGTCATCTACTGCATTCTACTCTTGGTGAGTCCTGTCTCCCCAACCTGACTGTAAACTTTTGGACAACCAGGAGGGAGGCGAGAGGACACCCGGACTTCACTCCCCGCCGCCCTGCGTAACTTGTAGGCATCAGACACCAGTAGGCCCTCCGTGGACGCGGGCTAAGGCTGAGGAGGGGCGGCCCTCAGCCACTCCAGCCCCCGCCCCGTGGGCACATCCTAAACCAGAGCACAGCCGAACGGCAGAGGAGGCAAGGGGCAGTGAGAGGACCCAGGAGAGGGGTCCCTCCCCTCCCACCCGAGTGGCAAGAGGCATCTCTCCACCTGCAAGGGGTGCTGTGCCCACTTTGCGGGGCCAGTGTGAGGACTGAAGCCAACGAACAAGAAGCAGGCGCCCTGCCCAGAGCCTGATGTGAGACAGGGGGCTGAGGATAGACGTTAGCGTCCTACTTGCCTTCCTGCTTCACTGCAGCCAACAACGACAAGAAGAGCATCCTGCCTTTTCTTTTCCTGTTGTGCTTCGCAGCAGTGGGACCAGCCTAGATCCAGAGTTGCCTCTCCCACCCCCCTCCTCACCCCACCCTCACCTCAACTTCGCCCCCACCCCCAGAACCCCAACCTCCCAACCCTCCGGTCCATCAGCCAGCTCCCCTGCTTCTCTCGCCCCTCTGATGTCCTCTCCACCCTCATCTTGCACTCCCCACCTCGGGCTCCCTCGGGCCTGACTCTTACCTGTGCCAGGGGGACTGGGGCAGCGGGCACCCGGGCTCACCTGGGTCCCATCTGTAGAGAGAAGAGAGAGGGCATGAAGGGGCTGCAGGGAAGGGGTGGGGAAAGGGTGAGAGGGCTAGGCCAGGTGGGGAGGCCCCACTCTAGCTTGAGCACCCCTAAACCCGGCACCTCCATCAGAAGCTAACCAAAAAGCAAGGATTCCGCCCCATTCCTTCTCTCAAATTCCCATGCTGAATGTGAGCGCTCGCCAGCCCTCTCTTCCTCATCCAACTCGGCCAGTGACTCAGACATCCCGCCCTGCTAGAGCCCAGTCCACAGCAGGCCCAAGGAGGCCCCAGTTCACCCAACGGTGCCTTCATCCCTCCTGGATGTGCTCCAACACCATCCTCCTAGAGCCCAGGCTCCCATAACCCAAAGGGAAAGAGAACTGGAGGGGAGGCGCCAGAGGTGGGATAGCATGGCCGGTGAGGCTGCCAGGAGGGAGATGGGGAGAAGCGGACCCAGAGAAGGGTAGCTGGGGGCTGCTCAGAGGCTTCCTGGGTGGGAGCAGATAGGAGCAGGTGGCAATGGGAAAGCTTCCACAGTTGGGGAGGGACTGGGTCATGGCCTGAAGGCCAAGTCAGAAATGGTGGGAGCTGTGAAGTAGCAGGTCTGGAGCACACAGCCAAGGCCCCCACAGTAGGAATCCCTTTCCTCCTGCCGCCCCAGCCCGGGTCCTGCAACCTCTGCGCCCCCACACACAAGAACCTCGCAGCGTTGTTTTTTTGTTTTGTTTTGTTTTGTTTTTTTAACAACCTGAAATAAAAGTCTTTGCTTTTGGAAAGGGTCGCTTTTCTCAGGGCTCATAAGCCGAGCCCAGAGCACCCCCATCCCGTTCAGAACCCATGAAACCCCATGGTAGGGCCAGAGCTGGGCAGCAACAGAGGCACGAAGTTGCCCAGAGGCCCACTGGGGTAAGGAAAGACAGAGATGAATCTGAGGTCACCTGTCCCAGATGGACCCCTTTCCCTTCTGCTGTCCCAGCTCAGGGCCCAGGGGACAGGAGTCCAGGAGACTGGAAGGCCACGTGGAAGGGGCCCTTGAGGGACACACAAAGATGTCCCCAGGCCAACCTTGGGGCAGAAGGGATATTTTCTGAAGAGCAACTGGTGGGCGCTGCTCTTTTGGGTCTGGGTTGAAGGGGCAGAAGCTGAAGAAAGGCGAACTCCCTGCAGGCAGGCACCGCGGGAGGGGGCAGCTCTAGGCCCAGAGAGCCTCGGGCCGGCTGCCCTCACACACCAGTGCCCCATGCTCCAGCTGCTGACGACGGGTAGGGAAGGGCGGCCCTACCTCCCCAAAGTCGGCGCAGCCCAGGCCCACGGGCTTCCTCATGAAGCTCACCCCAACCTCCCTCCCGCTCCCTGCCCAGAGCACCCACTCTGCGTCTGCCCCCTCAACACTCCACTAATCGTGGTCTCCATGGTGTCATTCGGAAGCCGCGCCCGTCTGCACCTACCACCTTGCTGCATGCATGCCAGGCCCATCAGGAAGGAGCGACTCAAAAGCCATGGTGCTCCCCACACCCCCCCCGACCCCCGCCTAGGACGTGGCATGAAGATTTCTCAAGCTTTGTGAGCCCCAAGGAACACTGGTGTGGCCGGCAGCATCCCCTCCCCAGGATGCAGTAACCCCCTCTCTAGGCTCTCTTAGGACCTCCTATTTCTTCTGCTCGTCTCCCAAGAGAGGTTTCTGAACTGGGCTCCCGGATATACTCGCAGAGGCTGAGTCAGGCCTCTGTGTCAGTCCGGGGCCTCCAGCCCCTGTGTAGTGGGAATTCTCCCCTACCTCCCCTCAGCCCCTGCCCGCGGGCTGGTCAGCAGCAATCATGCTTGGGAGCAGGGCCAAGCCTTGCTCCCCTGGTAACCATGGAGTCAGGACACCATGCACTCTCTGGATAGGAGACAAGCAAATGGCCCTGAACTCTGTAGTGTTTGTTACTGAGCCCAAAGGGATGTTTTGTGATGATGATCTATGATAGAAACTCTGTTCGGAAAAGCTGGGAGCAGGCACGCCTGTGTGTGCGCGGGTTGCCAACAGGGGCTGCTTCCAGAAGCAATTCCTGGAAAAAGTTCTGCTTCTCCCCCAGTGCCCTGGCTCTGTTCTGACGGCCTTTGAGCTCAGAAGAGCCCAAAGCAATGAAGGTAAGACCTGTGCAACAGCTCTCCCATGTCCCAGAGAGAAGGGAGGTGTCTAAGGGGACCCAGCTGCTGGCTCAACTAAAACCAGAAAGCGATCATTCTGCAAGCCAGGCTTGGCCATGATCTGGGGGACACTTCTTCTCATTGGCCCCTCTTGGGGTGCTGTTACCACTACCCTGGGACCAGACCAATAAAACCAGGAGTGAATGGACCTGAGGGCCTGAACCGTGCCTAGGCCTGGACCCTTCTCCACACAGCTCCCCGCCAGGGTGGAGAGCTCTCCGTTTTGGAATCCTGGCTGCCTCCCTGATCTCTACCTTCAGAAACTGCCACAGTCAGACTGAAGAGGTGGTTTACTTGGCACCGAGGCACCTGGGCCTACCAAGTTAACTTCCCAAGCCAGCGCACCTGACCTCACACAGCACCAAAGAGCCCCAGAAATACTGCCCCAGTGGGTCTACCGCAGCCCTCAGAAGCCCCCAGAGCAGACACAAAGGCCCCGCGAGCCCCTGTGCAAGCTGGTCTCCCACTCCTACTTGGTGGGCCTGGGCCTCACCTCCCCCACAGATGGGACTTTGCCCCTAGGCAGGCGCAAGGCGGCGGGAAACCTGAGCCCAGACTGCTCACCTGCTCTCCCAGGTGTTTCAGGCCCTTTGTCAGGAAGAGGGCTTCCCTAGGAGCAGAAGCCCCCTGCCCACACCTCTGATGTCTTTTCTGAGGCTGTCCCCACCTCCCTGATCTCCCAACCAGCTGAAGAGGAGTAGCAGGAAGGCCTGGGCCCCAGCGGGCAAGAGGAAAGAAGGCGACGGCAGGAGGCCAGGTCCCAGGTTCAGAGTTGGCTCCCTCCACACCCCACATTGAGGCTCTAGTTCTGTTTCCCTGACACAAGCAGGACAAAGCTTGACTCTGCATGGGGGCTGGCAGAGAAGATGAAAGCTGGGGCTGAAACGGCTTCAGGAAGATCCAAGAATAAATAAACACGAGAAAGAAAGAACATCACGGTTGCCAGGCCCTCCTGACACAGACTGAGCACTGAGCACCAAGGAGAGGCTCTTCTCGAAGGCATTCCGGTCACAGAATCTGAGAACCTTAGGAGCTGATGGGGCTCGAGAGCCTATTCCGGGCAACCCTCTCACTTCAAGAGGAGGCAAGAGCGAGGGGAAGGGGCTAGGTCATGGTCCCCCAGCAGGGGAGCCGCCCGGCCAGGCCAGGGCAGGGGAAAGCCAAGAAAGCAATCCCAAATGCAGACACCCAGTACTCCCACGTGAGGTCACTGCTCCAGGCCTTGAAGACATGGATGTATGAATGAAATCGCTTCTCACTTTCAACAAGCTTCACATACAGCCCACAATTTTTTTAAAAAAATTAAAAAGTAGACGACTTGCAGATACTAAAAAGTTCAGGGTCTCAAAAAGTGTAAGACAAAAACTTTCTCAGTCATCCAACTCCCAAGAACTTCCCTAGAATCAACCCTTTTTCTAATGGTTTCTTATCTCTCCCCCACCTTCCAGAAATTCTCTTGCTCATTATTAATTCTATTGCTCATTATCTTGGCACGAAGCTGCTTATTGCTTCTCCAGATTTCTCCAGAACCCAGGGGGCTGCAAGCTGGCTAGAAACTCCTGCCACCCAGAGTAATGGAAGCGAGGGTCCACAGCAGAGGACGTTGGCTTTGAGGTCAGATGGACGTGGGTTCAAACTCTGGCTCCTCTGGTGACGCACAGGGAGAGCCAGGGACACAGCGTAACCTGGTCAAGCCTTGGCTGCCCCAAGGGACAAGAATAACATGCACTTGGAAGAGGTCATCTGAGATTAGCAACACTGTGAGTGAAGCTCCTGGCACATGGTAGGTGCTCCCTCAATAGTCTCCATTACTACCATTTGTCCCTGAACTGGGCTGCGGCTTCCCTTCTGGCATACGCATTTCAGTGTCTGGTCCCAGCTGCGCCCTCTCCTCTTCTGCCCCAGTGCATTTTCTCCCCGATGCATTCCCTGCCCCACCTCTTCCGACTGCACTCCCCTCCCTTTCTCTTCCATCCGAACTTTGGTAAACGAACACTTCACTATGGGCCAGTTGTTCTGCGGGCCTTACATGTGCTAAGTCATCTAACCCTCACCAGAGGAGGCAGTTCCTGTTTCTATCCCCATTACACAGATCTGTAGACTGAGGCCCAGCAGGATTAAATAACTTGTCTGAAGTCCCATAACGTGGGAGTGGCTCGGCTGGGACTTGCGCCAGGCACCCGGGCTCCAGAATCCATGTTCTCAACTAATACCCTCCCCTGCTCCTCCCTGGCGCATCTGCTCCCATAGGCCGGCAGGTAGGGAGCAAATGCAGGACGTGGCTCAGCACAGGGAAAGATGGAAAGAGCACACAGCCCCGCAGAGACCAGTCCCAGCGGCAGACGCCAGGCCTGCTGGAGGTTAGAGAGCAAAAGCTGCTTATTTCATCTCCTGGTTTCCGTGAAGACTGTCCTGAAGAATCACTTATGGACAGCAACTGCTGACTTCGAAGATTCCAAGCAATGATTTCGGACTGCATGTGGGAGCAAGGGGCTGGTGACAGGTTGCGGTCTTGGAAGAGCACCGGCTTTATTCTCCCTGCTCTCCACTGCCTGCTACGTCCCCTCTCTAGAAGCTCCCAAGTCCCTCTGAGACTCTCATTAGAGTCCCAAAGCAAGCTGGGCTGCTCGCAGGCAGAGAGGCCAGCTGCCCTTGGGGCAGAGGCTTGCCTCACAGGTGAGTGGCCTGGGCTACGGCCACCCAGACAAAGGCCCCCTGTCAGCCCAAGTTCGGGGGGGGGG